TAAAATACTTTTGCAAATGTAGTATTCGTTCTTATCGTATCTTATTTTATCAGTTTTGTAAAAATATGATTGTCCACGAGTCGATCACACCATCGGGCGTGAGACCACCAATAACCTAAGAGGGCAAGGGTGTCTCATTAGTCTTATATTGGTGAATAATATTATCATCCTACGGTTCACCGGACCCGATGTTGTAGGATGAAACATTATTTCACTCTACCACTGGCGTGCCTTTGTCATCATCGCTCTTAAACCCCAAAATGAACCGTCCAACTTATAGCCTTGTTTGATGGTTTATATATAGTGACGACTATATATAAGCGCTTATGTTTCATACATAAGCACCCAAATCAAACCAAGAAGCAAAGAAAAAAAAGAAGAAAAATGGGGTGAGAGAGAGGAGGGATCGAGCCACCTGAAAGAGCTAAAAGGGAAAAGGTGAACCGACCCTCAAAACCGTGTTTAAAATGATCGACGAGAAGACACGAAAATGCAGCCCAAAAATCCACGAATCAACCCAAAAGGGTATCATTTTCTCCAATTTCACAAATGAATCAACCCAAGAAGGGTATCCTTTCCAAATTACATATCAAACAAATCAAAACATCTTACAAAGTGCATTTCAAAAGCTCGAAAACTGCAGCATAAAAGCCCCCAAAAATTGCAGCCAAATAATATCAAATAAAGCCTCAAACTGTAGCTCGAATGCCACCAAAAACAATCTCAAACATCTCCAAAAACCGATCCGTATCGAGCAACAAAATGCACGATTAAATTTCCCAGGTAAATTTACATGCAATATGATTAAGGAGAGACAGTCAAAATTCACGGCACAACAAATGGGGGAAGCCATTGCAATGAATTTGAATCTTACCAACGAAGAAAATCATGCCGAACAAATAAGAAGTTTATGTGTTAGATATGTAATCGAGTAAAAGATAGGTAATATGCATGTAAATCTTCTAGATGTTTCATCATTCTCATTTAAATATGCCCAACACTCTAATTTTTATTTTTAAGCCCAAGAATCCCTTCTATACATTCCTTATTTAGCACCTCAATCATGCTAATGAATAAAGAACAAGACAAGCAAGCAAGGAAAACTAAGTTAAAGCCTCCTCTATGAGTATCTTGAAGATAAAAAAAATAATTATCCACAATAATTATGTATAACATGTCATTCGGGACTCAAGCATAGCCATTAAAGAACAATGACAGATTTACATGCATAGCAATTAATTCTTATATATTGACATATTATATCACATAAAAAAAACAATTTACCATTTTAACTTCCAAATAAGCCATGAGTGTTGCAAAAAGAAATTTCTGCGCCCAACTCAGCATACAGTTGAAAGTAAAGAGAAATGAAGAAAGCTCAAAAGCTTAAAAGAAAACAATGCATAAATTCCTTTCAAAAAAACATGTAGCATGTAATCAACTCAAAAGCTCAACAAATAATCAGCTTTGAAAAGGGCATTTGCACCCTTCCAAATCGATGATTGATCGAGCCCAAAGCAAAGCTTCAAGGGTTTTCAAACCTTTCATAAATAAAAGTTGCATTAGTTCTCATTCCTCCAAAATAAAACTTTCCATGTTCCCAAACTTAAGTATTCCGCAAGACGAATCATTTGAGAATACAGGTTGATGCCAACTAAGTAAATAACCTCAAGAACTTTCAAACTTTTGCAAGTAGAGCACCAAAACTTACAAGTTTTTACAAATTGAACACCAAAAGTTTCAGATTTTACAAATTGAACACCAAAAAGTATCAGATTTTACAAATAGGCCACGCATAAATTACGAACCAATTAAGGTTTCAAAACACCCCACACCATTACAAATATCAAATAGAATCCTTTTAGATTTTTTTTTTTTTGAGCGGGCCAAGCCCCAAGCAACGGAATGCAAATTGTGTAAAAATAACAAGTTTTCAAGTACCATACATGTAAAGCCAACACAACATTAGAACCCAAAGGCCCTAAGCAGCAAACCAAATGGCAGAACTCCATCAGCTTAAAGGTGCTCTCTTCAAGGTGGAAGCAAACGTAGAGCTACATATACGAATTCCTCTAAACAGCAGTAAAATGCAAATCTAAAGTTAGAGCTACCAAACTCCAGCAGCATTTTCAATTAGAGTTTATTCTGTCCAAAATCCAAAGCTTATCTTTCTCAGCCATATGGCCAAACCTGTGGTGACAGAAATTTATATCAATTTGTATTCTAATTTACATCAATTTTTATTCTAATTACTTGCACCGACGAGTCTGGAACGTCAAAATTAGTTATAAAGGGCATCAATTTTGCTATGATCTTATGCACAAGCAAACAACACATAAATTGGGGGATTATCAATATAAAATGTCACAAAATTAATTAAAAGATAAAATTCTTTTTTTTTCTAAATCCCTAATTCGCACACGCCTCTCGCTCCCTCTCCTTCCCGTTCTCGAGACAGCCCGAGAACCCCCTCTCCCACGAAATTAGAATAAAAATTGATGTAATTCCTGTCACCACAGGTTTGGCCATATGACTGAGAAAGATATGAAGTCTTTCTTTTCTAAAAAAAATTCATGTTTTAAAGTCTATAAATTCTTTTTTATGAAGATTTTGTTTTTGAAAGCAAAAAAATATTTATTTTTCTAAAAGTGGGTCAACATTGGAGTTAGTGCATACTGATGTATGAGGTTCTACTACAATTTAGTCTATTAGACATTCTAAATATTTTGACACTTTCATTGATTTACATTGATGAACACACTCTAAATATATGAGTATATTTCTTGAATCATAAATCTAATGTGTTTGAGGTATTTAAGAAGTGGAAAACCATACTTGAGAATGAGATATGTTTGAAGATGAAATGTCTTAGATCAAATAATGATGGTAAGAATTATGATCAAAATTTCAAGAGTTTTTATGATTAGAAGAAACCAATCATGGGTTTACTATTCCAAAGACATCACAACAATATATTGTTCTTTAGAGAATGAAAAGAACTTTCGCAGAGTGTGCTAGAAGTATGAGATTACATGTGAGCTTGTAAACAGGTTTGAGTAGATATAATAAACATTTCAATTTATCTGATTAATCGTGGTCTATTAGTGTCTTTGAATGAATGCTTACCTAAAGAATTTTGGAGTGGAAAAGAGGTAAATTTATCTTAGTTGAAAGTATTTGGTTGTTCAATATATGTTTATGCTCATTGCAAAATCAAATATAGAGAAGATCAAAGATTGAAGGAAAATAGCCTAAGGCTGAAGTTGAGCAAATACAAATTAAAAGAAATTTGTATGATTCGGCTTTTGAAAGTTTGATGTATGTGATGATATCTATAATACTAGATATTGAACATGTAGTGGGAGTGGTCAGTTGGTACATTAGTAATCCAGGTAAATATCATTGGGATGTAGTGAAGTGGATTCTCAATTACTTGAGAGGAACATTCAACAAAATAATTTATTTTGAAATGCAAGAATTAATCTATAGGGACATGCATATTCAAATTTTGTTGGAGATATTGATAATGGAATAAATACTACATGTTATATCCACTATGGGGTACAGATTAGTGAATTGGGTTCCCAAATTATAAAAGATAGTTGTTCTATCAATTATAGAAGCAAAATGTATTACTATAACTAAGATAATAAGGAAATAGTTTGGCTACAGAGCTTTATAGCAGAATTGGCAAGCAACAAGAGAATGTAATGCTTCACAATGATAGTTTTATTGTCATTCATCTAGCAAAGAACACCACATTTCATGCCAGGATAAAATCACGTACAACTAAGGTATCATTTCATTTGTTTACTTTTAGAAGATAGTTAATTATCTTTTGCAAAGTTATACATAGCTCAAAATCCTAAAAATATGTTAACTAAGGTTGTAACAACTTAGAAACTAAAGCCATGCTTTGCTTTAGTTGGAGTTCAGGAAGGTTAAAACTAGGATGAGTCATATTAAAGTTCATAACTATGAAGATGTTGTAGATTTAGAGAAGGGAGAGTGATTGCAATTAGTCTCCAGTGGAAGATTGTTTTTTACGTGGAGCCTGGTTGTGTTAATCAATTATTCACTTAGAGCCTTTAATTTCACGGATCAAGCTTGATATTGAGTTTATCATCTGGAGGGGGGG